GAAACCAAATAACCACCATAACAGTCACTTTGAATGGTATATATAACAAAAAATTTATGAGAAACAAGCAAGTGGTCGACCTAAAACAAGGGGGGGGGGGTTGACCTGAACTCTCCCGAATTCAGGATTATGCAGAAAAACGCTTTTTGCATCGATGCAAAGCACCCTATTTTTGAGAAACACAAAACACACAGTATGAGTCGACCGGAAGGTCGACGCGAGCTCTCCTGAGAGTAAAACATGAAAATTGGCTTCTGTATGAGTCGACCTAAGCAATCTATAAGTCGACTCAAAGACTCAGAACTTGCAAAAATGTAGATTTTGATATGTTTGGCTACTTCTAAGTGTTCCTAATGCATCTCTAACTCGGCCAACATGATCAAACTCATATATAACACATATCATGCTTTTTCTATATGAACCCAGACACATTTTGACAAATGTTTGGCACTAGAAAGATAACGTATGCATACGAAACTCGATGATACCGTCCAAAGTACATTTTTCTAACTATATATGTTTTGACATCATTAAAACATGTATAACCAAGTATGAGGTACTTTGCCCTCACATACTCCTCATTTTTGATGATGGCAAAACAGTAGAAACATAGTTAAGCATAATGTGTAGTATCATTCTCCCTCTTACTTTTTGCATTTATCTAGAAAGGATTTGAATGTTTGATCAGTCTTGTAAAGTGATTTGTTGTTTCTTCTTGGTTTTCTTCTCCCCTTTGACAACATCAAAAAGAAAGAAGATAAGGTCAACGAAAGACATATTATAATGAAATAAGCATATTCGCCAAATTCGTAACAGGATAGCATTAACAAACATTCACTTATAATGAAGTTAATGAAATCATATAAATGGATGAATAAATAACATCGCAAATGATCAAAAGAAATATGTGCTATTAAAAATATTAAAGATTAACAAAGACGCATGCCTTAATAATTCAAACAAATACAAGAAGATATTAACACAAAAATGTGATGAACACTATATGAAATAACATGCACAATAATATAGAATGACTCCTCAAGGTCTCCTCACCCTAAAGTGATGTCCCCTTTCATGAAATGGATAGTCACGAGGTGGAGGAAGTTGTTTCTCATCTATCCGTTCCGTATACTCTAGGACAACTCGATTAAGAGTGTTGAAACTAGTAGTGAGAGCACGGTGTTGACCATCAACAAATTTAACCATGCCATCAAACCGACCTATTAATGTTTTTGCGAATGAGTTGAAGTTATTCATGTGAGCTTGAAGTTAGTTCTAAAAATTTGTGAGCCGGTCATCCTGGACAGTGGTGAAGTTCTGTTGTTCGAGTTGCATGCTCCTCATCATTTTGAGGAGTTCTTCATTATTCTGCTGGGGACACGGAGGTGATGGAGGCATGTAATTCCAATCCGGGGTCTCTTGATAATCCCAATTTGTAGCTTGAGGCATGTAGTTTTCACCTAGTGTAGTCTAGCCAGTGTGTTTCCAGGAACCCCATCCTTGATTTCCATCAGATTCCAAACGGGGTGATTGATCTAGCCAACCATTGTTATCCTGTTCATCAGTATCCATGTGAGTTCCACCCTCTTCTCCTTCTTCTTCTTCTTCTTATTATTATTATTATTATTATTATTATTATTATTATTATTATTATTATTATTATTATTATTATTATTATTATTCTCCGTCTTCATCACTCTCGTCAGATTCCTGCAGACGAGAGCTTGTTTCCTTAACAATAAAATCTGTAGCGAGAGTCGTGAGGATCCTAAATATAACCCATCATAGTTAGAGTCTTTTGACAATGCGGTTCCTCTACCAGAGTCTTTCAAAGAGTAGATTCTACTCGCAATGTAGTGAGGCCACTTAATCTTGATCTTCTTTTTCAGAATGTAAAACAAGTGAACCTCGGCTTGGTCAACCCGAGAATAACCACCTTTCTTGGGTCGAAGAACGTGCGAGACAATCCACTATAAAATCCCGTCAATTGGCTTCAACCTACCAGTTCCGAACACCTTAAGCATATCACTTTTATTCTTGAATAGTTATGTCCACAGTTTTCTACTAAAATCATCTATGAATGTGACAAAGTATTTGTTACCTCCAATCAAATCTATCTAGATAGGACCACACATCTGAAATATGACCTCAAGAATTGCCTTCGACTTGCTTCCTGCATCTTTGCTGAAGCTATTCTTATGTTGATTTGTCTAAAAACATTCTTTACACACTAAATTTGGAATGTCGATTTATGGTAATCCTGAAACCATGTTTCTTCTCTTGATATTTTTTATGTCTTTGAAGTTGAGGTGGCCTACTATGCAGTGCTATAGTCATTCATCTCTGCTAGATGCACTTGCCAGACACTTGTGTTCCATAACATTGAGTTTAATCTTGAAGGTTCTGTTATGAGATATAGTTGCCTTCAAAATTAACCCACCTCTTGACTCGAGAACTCTCATCGTCTTATCTTCGATAAACACTTTGTAACTCTTCTCGATCAATTTCCGTATGCTGGCAAAATTACTTTTTATGCTTGATATGTATAATACATTAGAAGTTACTGATCTTTTGCCATTTTTCCTCATAATTATAACATCACAAACAACTTCAGTAGTCAGGGTATTTTCATTTGTGAATTTCACCTTGTTCTCCATCGAGGGACTTATGTTAACAAACCAATATTTCCTTCCAGTCATGTGTGATGAGAAACATGAGTCCAAGTACCATTGATACTTGAATCTTTCTTCATCTTTCGGATTGACCATCAACAATATCTCTTCTTCTTCCTGCTCTTCGTGTTTTGCAAGTCTTGCATCACTTTCTTGATTTTCTTTCTTGCCTCCCAGACATTGACTTGCATAATGTCCATACTTCGTGTTTATTAGGTTTTCTTCCATCGTCTGTTCCTCTACCCTCAGTACCACCTCTGTGATTGCTTTGGTTTGAAGATTGTCTCTGATTTGATGAACTACCTTCTTGTTAGTTTCCTCTATCTTTGTTACCATTTAACCTTCCTTTGTCTTACTTTTCTATTGCTCAATGCGCATGCAGAGCTACATTACTCTTTGTCTTGCTTAAGGATCTTTCAACCATTCTTTGTCCATGATATTCAAGCATCCCTTGAAGCTCTTCTTTTCTCATGATTGAGAAAATCCTTTGATTTTTTTATGGATACTACCACATGATTGAATTTTGGAGTCAATAATCTCAAGATCTTTATAACTATTGATCTTGATGTCAACACTTTTGCACACATCTTGATTTGATTCACCAATCTTGTTACTCTAGTGATAAAATCAACGATACTTTCACTTTCTTCCATATGAAGCAATTCACACGTTCTTTTGTGAGTTTGTAACCTCACAACTTTCACCTTGTCAGCGCATCCAAACGATTTCTCCAGGATGTATCATGCTTTCTTTGCCAAGTCTACATCGCCAACTTTCTTAAGTTGTCTGGATCAACACATTAAGGATTACAAAGAGAGCTTTATAATCTTTCCTCTTCAAATCTTTGTGTGCAATCTTTTGTTCACCCGTAACGTTCTCTTAAATTGGTGTTACTCTGTTCTTCACAATATCCTAAAGATTTCGATAACAGAAAACAACCTTCATTTGCTTACATCAATTCTCATAATTCTTACCATTCAAGATTGGCAGATTCGGTAGAAAGTGTTTGTTCGAATGAGAAGTCATTCTATTATGCCTCCCCAAGAATCACAACCAAAGCTCTAGATACTAGATGTAGGAATTAACCTCAATCTTGGAGATAATCTGAAGCAATCTTGATTGAACTAGAATCAATCTTTCTGATTGATCGTTCATGTCGTTCCTCACTCTTTACTCAAGTGATTCAACCGCTCCCCTGTTTCAAGATGATTCCACCACACAATGATTTGAAAGAGAAGAAATTCGTGAAAATGAATTAGGGAAGAAAATATAAATTAGTGTTTTGGAGAAAAGAAAGAAGATGAATCAAATTCTGCAGAGTTTTTCTCCGCGTTTATTCTTACTAAATTTCTCTTGTTCAACTATATACAACCTCTAACTAATAGGGTACCTCCCTATTTATAATTGATATTATTTACACCCTATACAATCTCTAACTAACTTAATTGTCACTAACATAAAATGTTAAATTTAACTCTTTTGACAACTATATACTCTGACTACTTAAGACTGTATTCGACTACTACTCTATTAAACATGTTGGACTTCGACTATATCGAATCTTATAGCATACTTAACCCAAGAAATTACATATTTAACACTAATTACATATTTATATACTACTAAGATTATATCATAGCCTTTAATTATTTTAATTATCAAATCAAAGACTTAAAATAATTGGACCACGATGGGAAAATGTAATAATTTGGACCATTCTAATCATTGCCCTTAATCAAAAGTTCAAAACCATTACATTAACTAAGTGGTGGGACGTGCACCAACCTAAAATTGAACACGCGCATGTGCAAAAGAAAATAAATTATCTACTAGTTTCATCAAACCCTACCAAAACCATATCAATAAATGATAAATAAACATTCTCATATTATAATATAAAAATATAAATTGATATAGGGTTTTTTACACAAAACTTTGACACTTACACAGTATAATCATACGGTTTTGTATTTTTCCAATATTTAATTATTATTTTTACTTTATTTTAACACAAACAAACACATGTATATGCTTATTCATACGGGTGTAACTCTTGGGTGTATGATTTTTAGTGTCAACCTAGCAAACCTGAGGCAGTAGGTGATGTCGTGAGATTGAGGTTGAGAAGAAAAAAAAGTTCTTTTCGTGGACCAGTCACACAATTCATCTCTTTCTTTAATGTGCTCATTTTAATTTAACATATTCACTTTTCCTCCCCTAGTGGTCTTATATTAAAATAATATGTATATATATATGATGTGAATCGTGATAGAACCACCATCCTTTTCAAGACTCATTTATATTTTCTTTTGCATTCTTGTCATCCTCATGGATTCTCAATTCTTGCTTGGTATTGCACTTTCATCCATTGGTGGCTTTAGCACTTCCATTGGTATGTGCTTTGTCTCTTCTAGACATTAGATAAGTTTTAGAAGAAGACATAATCTCTGTTTACTAAAGTTTGTGTATATGGAACAGGTGCACTTTTTGTTATTATGAGTAAAGCTCCAAGTTTGAGGATGCTTGGACTATTACAGGTACTCATCATCTTTTATCTATTACGAACACCAGAAATATGTCACTGAGACTGACGGTTTTAATAATTTCTCATTTTCCTTTGGTACATTAAAAGGGTTTTGCTGCTGGTTTAATGCTGAGCATATCATTCTTTGATCTTGCTCATAATGCCATAAACTCACTTGGCTTCCTAAGAGGCAATCTTTGGGTAAACCTTTCTCTTCTCTTCACTTCTTCACCATAATTCTAGTATTCTACATTGTTGTTTCATATTTGTTCTGACCATCATGTTTTATTTTCTTCTTCACATAGTTTTTTTCTGGTGTCGTATTTTTTGCTATTGTTGCCCACTTTATTCCAGAACCAACCGTTCCTCCACCCGATAAGAAAAACAAAAAGGTCATTTTAATGAACTTTGATTTTCTTTTGCTATTATTTTATATATGTAGATATTAACTTATAAATAATTTTGTGACATGCTTGAAAAAATCAAGGTTGGTAATGAAGAAAACAAGAACACCATGAAAAAACGTCGCCGCCAGGTTTTATTCAGTGGAATTATTACAGCCATAGGTATAAGTTTACATAATTTTCCGGAAGGCATGGCAGTGTACCTTGGATCCATGAAGGTAAAAATACCTCTTGTTTCACAATTTTAAGGTGGTTGCATTAATCAACTAATAATTTTTATGTTGTTTGAATAGGGTCTTCGGGTTGGTCTTAACCTTGCATTGGCCATTGCTCTGCACAATATCCCTGAGGTATAAGTTCTTGATATTTTAGTAATTTTGTTTGTTTAATTTCTAAGCATTTCTTTAGTTTCACATAAAAAAATCGTTAAATTTTCTATGTTTTATAGGGTGTTGCCGTCGCACTTCCTGTTTATTTTGCAACAGAGAGGTAAAAGCCTTCATGCTCTCCTATAAAATCATGAGTTATTATTATTATTATTATTATTACAATATCGGTCTATTCGAATTATAACTGATTTTATTTTATTTCTTGATGTGTATAGTAAATGGCAGGCATTCAAATTGGCATCACTTTCTGGCTTAGCTGAGCCCTTAGGTGTTGTTATTGTTGCATGTCTATTTCCTACGAGCCTAAATCCTGAAATTCTCGAGGGTTTGCTGGCATCGGTTGGTGGTGTTATGGCTTTTATAACCCTTCATGAAATGCTGCCATTGGCTTTCGAGTATGCCGGACAGAAACAATCTGTTAAGGCTGTCTTCTGCGGAATGGCTTTCATGTCTGCGAGGTGATAAATCGTTTTCGATCTCGACCAAGATAATTGATAGTATTGATTATGCAACTGATTGAATTTACTATTTCTTTGTGTGCAGCCTGTATTTTCTGCGTTTGAGTTTACCAGAGGACACTGGTGTCTAGCTAAAGATGTGTTCAGAATGAGAGTTATACAAACTTCCAAATGATGAAATTGTGCAACATTAGGATATGTTTCTCTTCCCATTGCATACAATGTACAAAGAAGATGAAAAAAGTAATGTAGTTTGGTTACTTTTTTAAACTAGTGTGATGCACAAGTGAATTATATATGTACAGTTGTTGAACTTGTGATAATCAGAATAAAATAAGATTACATATACGAATATTGTGAGTTTAGGGTTATTTTTTAACCATGTATTTATAGCTTTTTTAAATTGATTTTTTGATTTTTTGATTTTAAAAATAAATAATTTTTCAAGAATTTTATCTTCACACATTACTTATTACGTACACTCATAGATTGAATCTTTTACCTCGATTTTAGGTAACAACTAAAGATAAAACCCTTGTTTATTATTATATTTAAAGAAACTTCAAAATTTTGATTTTAATCTGTATTTTTTTAAAAACAGAACTAACACCTAAATTATTTTTAACATAATTGAATGGATTTTTTTTTAAACTTGAACAAAACCTGACATTCTAAAGTTTTTATTTATGAATGGTATCCGATCGTCAAATATTTATAATTTGAACAACATATGCCAATAATTAGGTTAATACTACAACAACAATAATAACAACAACATTAAATCTTCAATAACAACAACATTGATCATAAAATCTCAATAAATATATATGACTAAGTCATATAAAATACATGTTAATTTTCTCATATCCCTTCTTAATGATCATAACAAAAAACATACACATCATCTGAATTATTTTTTTCATATGAGATATGCAAAAGAAGGAGTCTCATAAATATCAAGAGTTAAATCTTAATTTTCATCACTATCAAAAATATATTGTTAAAAGGGTCAATGTCATAAAAAAACTTGTTTTTCCTAGGATGTCAGGACAAAAGTTCATTCATATAAGCTGACTTGTGAAGGTCAGCCCATGTGAATCCTAATCCATCGGTTTGTACACTAGTTATAATTTCCTTTATTTGTGAAGGTCAACCCATGTGAATCTTAATTGCTACCATCATTTGTCTTTTCTTGAATGTTGAGAAGTGTTCCAATCAAACTATCACACATATTTTTTTCACATGCATCACATCAAGACAATGTCTTACATTGAGGCTAGACTAATATGAAAGATCAAAGAACACCAAACTCTTTTTCCATATTTTTTTCACATGCCCTTTTTTATTCTTTCAAATGAAATCAGTAATGTGTTATTGTCGTGTATAAGCTTTCTCACTGGTTAAGAGTTGTGGAGCGATATCAAACTCTTCCTCACCATTAAAGGACTGTCATAATCTACAATACGGATTATTGGGTCTTCGAAATTTTTGATGCCTAACGTAAGCATTATTTTTTCCATTCTTTAGTTGGTGGAAACATATATGAGCTTCACATATAAGACACACTTTATATCTCTTAATGTTGTACCCAGACAAATTATCATATATATATATATATATATATATATATATATATATATATATATATATATATATATATATATATATATATATATATATATAATATATATATATATATATATATATATATATATATATATATATATATATATATATATATATATATATATATATATATATATATATATATATATATATATGAAAATTATTGGTTGTGCAAAATAACATGACACACATCTTAAAATTTTCACTCGAATATGCATCATCAGCACCGACGTCTTCCTTCCACAAAATTTTTAAATCTTTAACCAATGGGCTTAAATAACATCTATATTGTTTCCTGGTTTTCTTGGATCAGAAATAATCATAGATAACATCATATATTTGCATTTCATGCACAACCATGATGATTGGTCGTAAATTATGAGAAGACCAAATCATGAAGTACGCTTAATAACCAAATTGCCAAATAAGTTCATTCCATTGGTGGAAAGTCCAAGCCTAAGGTTTCTTAGCTCGTGGCCAAAATCCAGAAACAACAAATCAATTTTTTTTTCCATTTTAATGAATTAGATACATGGAAAATTTTTCTTTCACATTTTCTATCATCTACGTATTATTTGCATACTTAACATTAGCAAACAGTCTCTTGAACCTTGAAATTATTGGTAGGTACCGTATTACCTTGGAAAAATGACCTTTCTTGCTCACATCATCATCATTATCATCATCACCATTGTTCTTCAATCTGTAGCGCGACTCCTGTAACGCCCGTTTTATTTTGATTAAATTCAATTATGACTTTGCTATGTCTCGTTGCATCGTAGTCGCAGTTGAGTATGTGTTTGAATCGAAGGAAGGAATTGAATCGGTCGAATTGTCGGGAAAAAGTGTAAAATTCCGTAGCAGTTTTAGGAAACTTCGAAAAATCACATCTCTTGATCCGTAAGTCGGATTTGACCCCTGTTCGAAGCGTTGGAAAGCTAAAGAGATGTTATATCTAGAAAAAAATTGAATTCTTCTGATATGACGATCGTCATGGACTTCCACGACCGTGACGCTCGTCATGGACTTGCCACGACCGTCATAGTAACGAAATTCAGTTAAATGCAGAATTTGGACGTGGCTGAGAGTGGGTAGCAAAAATATATTCCCATAGACTCTTTTACCCTCAATTACACCATTTGGGGAAAGAAAAGACTGGAAAGAGAAGTTACGCACTGAGGAAAGTTGAGAGCAAAAAATCAACCACCGACGAATTTGGAGGATTTCTGCATAAAAGTCACCGGTAGAGCGGAAGCGGAACCGGAGAGCGTGGAATTGACCTCAATTCTAAGGTAAGGGTAGGGTTCAATTCTATAACCAGAAGTATGATCGAATTCATGTGGGGATCGAGTCATAGGTATAATTTTTCGTTATCGATAAATGTTAAGGAAAAGGTTTCCCCAATGGAACCAGATTTCTATGTAGAATGAATGTGTTATGTAGTTATTAGTGCGATGCTCTAAGGTTTTCCTTATGGGCAAATTCGTAGAACAAATATGCTATACGGTTATTCGTACAACGCTCTAATGGTTTTCCCTAATTGGCCAAAAAAAGGACAGTTTCCTGGTTGTGATTGATTTGTAATTAATTATGTGAGAAGATGCCGTAATATTGTTATTATGATAAGATGTTAAAGATTAATTGTTGAACTGATGTTGATGTTATACCTGTATAGGAATAGCCGTTGTAGATGAACACTTGGAGTTCCTATTTGTTGGTACGATTTGTAATGTTCCTTTACATGAACAGTCGTAAATGTTGAAATTATGTTGTTATTGTTCCCGTATGTGAACGGGTAGAAAGTGATGGTTGTATGAGTGGTATGATATTATGATGCTCTGTATGGACATTCTAGTTGTAGGCATAATGCCTTGTTATATGGTTGCTATGGTTGTGTTGTAGTCCATAATAGATGCATTTCATAGCATAGCATTTGGCCTGGATTGGCGACGGTTGTGTCTGTATTAGCGTTATTTGGAGTGTTGGCTCCTAGATGGGTTCGGGGTGTTGGCCCTGTCCCGAGTTTTGGAGTGTTGGCTCCTAGATGGGTTCGGGGTGTTGGCCCTGTCCCGAGTTTTGGAGTGTTGGCTCCTAAATGGTACCACATGCATGTGCACAGTTGAGTCGCATGAAGTCGCATAATTACGCTAGTTGCATGTTAATGTTGTTTATGTGAGATATGGATTACCTGCAGTTGTTGTCGATGATGTTTATGATTTCGAAGCCTATAATGCTGTGATGAGTTTCCGGCATGTTTTCTATCATGCTTTATGATATATTATTGATATCTCACCCTTTTCCGTTGTATGTTACCTCCTCTGGTGGTAATTTGCAGGTAGTCAGGAATAGAGCGTAGTTCCCGTTAAGGTGTCGTTGGTCGCTCTGATACGTAGCACTCTTGGGGGGGTGGACGATTGTTGTTATTATTTTAGTCGATGTTATTGTTGATCTAACTTGTTACGATGTTTTTATTAAATTATTTTAAAGAGAACATGTTGTATACCTTATCGAACTTCCACCGGAAGTAATGACGAGTTGTTTATGATTAAATGGTTAAGTAATGCATTGGTGATTGTTCATCCAATTTCGTGCTACGTATGATATTTGCAAGTTGTTGCATAATGATTGTTGTCTGGCAGGTTGAAGAGTAACATCTCTGATATGATGGATTTTTCCCGTGTGACGACCGTCACAGGCTCATGACGACCGTCATGCAGTCAATGTTTGCGCTGCTGCGCTTTGTTTGCTATATGAATTGTTGTTTTTTCTTCTGTTATCCGCAAGTTTAGATTTGGGGTGTTACATTACTGGTATCAGAGCAGGTCGGTCCATCCGGCCAAGTTGTCTAGTGTCGTCGAGTCAGTCGTCGTGCCTAACACTAGAGTCTCGTTAATTATGAAATCTGACTGTTGGTTGTTGCAGCTTAAGTGAAATGGCTGGGAGGAATGATGCTGCGATTGCTGCTGCTCTGCAAGCTTTAGCTAATGCTATGGAACATCAGCCGAATCCTGCTGGAGATGCTGGGTCTCGCAGTTTGGCAACGTTTCAACGGGAGAATCCGCCTACCTTCAAGGGTAAGCATGATCCTGATGGTGCATTGGAGTGGTTAAAGGAAATGGAGCGAATCTTTCGTGTGATGGATTGTACTCCAGCGCAGAAGGTCCGTTATGGGACTCATATGCTAGCAGTCGAAGCTGATGACTGGTGGCTAGAGACTCGTCCAGTGTTGGAAGCTGCAGGTGAAGAAGTTACTTGGACTGTATTCCGTAGGGAATTTCTAAAGAAGTATTACCCGGAAGATGTCTGTGGTAAGAAAGAGATTGAATTTCTTGAACTGGAGCAAGGAGACAGATCTGTTACTGAGTATGCGGCGAAGTTCAAGGAGTTGGCTAAGTTTTACCCGCACTACAGCGCAGAGACTGCTGAATTCTCTAAATGTATCAAGTTTGAGAACGGATTGAAGTCTGAAATTAAGAAAGCAATCGGGTATCAGAAGATCCGTGTC